TGCAGGAGCTGCTCATGGAGAGGTGGCACCAGGACCTGAGGCTCCCACTGCTCCCCATCTTCTTTGGTGCAGCAGCATCTCCCTCTCCCAGGGATGCACCAGTGGTGCTGTGGTGGGCACCTTTGCAGCTGTGGGGGACACAAAAAAGGCCATTTTGGTTCTCTGTTCCACTGAGGTGTCTGTAGGAAGGGTCTGTCAGAAGCCACCAGATGCCCAGGATGCTGCATCCTTCATCTCCTTCCAAATTTTGCCAGGTCAGGAGGGGTGATCCATGAATTTTGGGACCACGAGGTGTTGGAAGAGGTCACGTTGCACCCTGCACAGTGTTGGGTGTCCTGTCCAGCTCTGCTCAGCCTGTTGGGGCCAGCTCTGACAGCACAGGGTCAGCCTTCCACCATCACCTTTGGCAAAGGCACCTCCCTTGTGGGTCACATCCTCCTGTCCTGTCTCCCTGCACCACGCTGGAAGGTGGGATGAAGTCATGGCAAAGCTGCTCCCGGAGGTTTCCATGAGCACCTTCAGAAAACACAGGGGTCTGTGTAAATCTGTGTCAATTCTGTGTCAATTCTGTGTTATTGGGACTCAAGCTCCAGGACCCTGCTCGGTGCACGGAGCTGTCAGCTGAGCGCCCTCCCCTGCTCTCCAGGGAGCTTCAGCTGAAGTGTTGGTGTGTCAGGATCAGCACTCCTCAGTTTGTCACCACAATAAACAGAGGGTGACAGTGACCCGGCCTGCAGGAACAACGAGCAGGATCGCTGCCACATTCCTGTGTCAACCTGTGCGAGGAAACGGCCGCGGCCCCAGGGCTTTGTCACCTGCCAGGGCCCTGTGCTGGACTGTCACTCTGCACAAGAGGGAAACCATGGCTGTGGTCACACTGGGGACCTCCCGTGGGTCACTGGTGACCAGCCAAGGCCGGGGGTCCTGGTGTGGTGAGGATCACATCAGCATGTCACTGCCAAAGCTGGAACCAGAGCTGCTGGAGGATTTGCAGCACACACCAATCCATGGCCAGGGCAGAGGCAGCAGCAGCTCTTCAGCCGTTATCCAGAGCCAGAGGAAAGTCCACTCCCATCTGTGGCATTCCTGACCACTGCAGTGCCCCGGGTGCTTCCCACACTCTTCTGGCTTTGGCGCCTTGAGGTGTTTGTCCTTCTCCACTCACCTCGTCCAGCCTCTTGTCACTTGTGCTGTCCCACTGCTTGGAGTGGCTGGAGGTGGCCCCACAGCAGGGCAGCGTGGGGCTCTGGTGGGCACACACAGCTCCACACCTTGGCGCTGCCCTGGCTGCTCCGTGTCACCGCTCAGCTGCTCCTCCTGCAGAGCTCCAGCTCACAGCCTGGCACAGGACCTCCACTGCCACCTCCAAGCACGGCTCTGTCCCTCCAGGTCTGCTCTCAGCTCATGCAGCACCAAGTGTGCCCCAAAGCAAAGCCCTGACCCCAGGCTGGGCACGGGGATGCTGCTGGGGGGACAGGAGGTGTCCACGCCACTCTGGCTTGGAGGACAAACAGAGCCCGTGTTCTCCGTGGCTTCCACCAGTGCTCACGTGGAAAGAAAAGCTGCTTTATGCAGCTGAGGAACTTCTCATCCACCCACCATGGCTCTGCATCCCGACCTGACCCCTTGGGCAGGCTCCAGCCCTCGAGGACGCCGCACTCCGCTCCGGACTCTGAAACGCCTTGTACGTCTGCGGGCAGCCACCTCTGCATCACCTAAAAGACATCGGGGATTTTTGTGCAGGAGAGGAAGGAAAACAACAAGAAAAAATAGGGCCTGGCTCTTTCATTCACGCATTTATTGGGCGGACAGCGTGGCTGTGGTCAGCTGGGCTTCGGCCTTCACAGACGGGGATATTTATAAGGCACGCGGAGCGGCTCGGCGTGTGCGTCCAAGTCATTCCTTCCCCGGCACAGGGGATAATGTTGCCTTTGTTCAGCTGCCTCGGGCACAGCAGAGCGTGCCGTGCTGCTCGGCCGGGCCCCTCGCCGTGCCCCGGTGCAGCCCCGCTCCTTCCACACACACCGCGGCCCCGGCAACTGCCACCATAAATCAATAGGAAAGGAGAGGCTGCCAGTTAGACTAAACAAGTGCATTTGCAAGGATTGCTAACCCTCATTAATCACTCTGACAGTCCTAAAAACACATTTCCCCTTTAATGACTGTATTTGGATAATCAGAGCTTTTTCCTCGCGAGTGACGGTGGGCGCGACTTCGGCGGCACCGGGGTCACCGGCGAGTCAAGCGCTGCGGGTCCCCGGCAGCTCGGGGTGAGCTGGAGAAGGTGCTGCTGTGCCACGGGGAAAGAAGCCACCAGCACAGCCCCAAAACTGCTGTCCCCACGTCTGACACCCACTGGTGTCCTCCCAGCCCCAGCTGGATTTGAAAAGGTCTTTTTCTGTCTCTTCGCGTTCCCTTTTAGGTGACTTTTGCCTCCTGGAGAGGTCTGAAACCTGGCACATTTTTCTGTATAAATGATGCAACACATTAATGCACAGCACATTATGAAAATGGTAATTCAAACCCATACAACTCTAAATTAAGCCATACATTATCCGACCCACTCAGCCATATATTTTGCAGAAAGACAGGATTGAATCAAATCAAACCGAAACTGTGGAGTGCAGGTTGTTAGACAGAATGATTAATAAAGTGCATCCCAGTGCTCTTATTATAAAATGAATTCCGCAATAACCTGGGCATACATTACACAGGGAATTATTTAATATATTGGCAACGCGACTGTTCCCCGGCAGCTCAGCCCGAGTGCCGCCGCTATCAGATGATACTCGCGGTGTTTACATGGTCTGGCCCCGCTGCTGCAGTCCTTAGGGAGGGGAAAAATATTCCTCAGGGAACCTCCTGCACAGCAGAACTCATCCAGGCAGCACCCAGCCCTGCTGTGGGTGAAGGGAAGGCGCACGGGCTCGTTTTGGAGCAGGGACCATCCTGGCACGGGGAGGGTTTGGGGGAGAGAGAGGATGGAGCTTTGCCGTGAGGAGGGATCGCCCAGCAGCTCTGGGAGGAGGCTCTGGCAGGATGAGGCTGTGCACCCCCTCGCTCTGTGCCCTGGCTGCTCCATGGTTGGGATCTGGCACGGCCCCCAAAGCCCGGAGCAGCTGTGCCGGGTGCGCTGATTTCGGCACCGGGCTACCGCACCTCAAGGGTCTGCGGCATCATCCTCCCACCCCGTGCACGAGGTGTCCAGCCACAGCCAGGGATGGGCATGGTGGGACAAAATTCCAGTGCAGGAACCTGAGACAGGCCCTAGCACGAAGCCACAGGCAGGATTTATGATGGGGACTGGCAGTGCCCGAGCGAGGCCGACACCGAGCGGCATCACTGCGGGGAGTGGGGGCCACATCCAGGGAGAAGCGATGCTCCCGAGGGCCAGGGGGTCTGGGTACCTCCAATGCCAGCACAGAGAACACACTGGAGCTGCTCTACCCTCCGCCTGTGGCACCCTGCTCCATGGCCAGCATCAGCTGCCACAGGGCTCAGCATCCAGCAGGGACACAGGAGACACCCGAGGGGCTGCACCAGCCTGGGCCGGGCACCCTCTTCCTGCTGTGCCCACGGGACAGAGCAAAAACCCACAGCAAAGCCCCCCTGTGCCAGCTCCAGCCCTCATCCAGCAAACATCCCACCTGGAAGGAGCAACACCAGCACAGCCACAACCAGAGCCCAGCCACGTCCACACAGGGCAAGGGGCAGCCACAGATGCCCAAAACCAGCCTTGGGGAGCTCAGCATGGAGCCAAACTGGCTCCTGGATCACCAAATCTCTCCTGCTGCCATAGGAAACCCCAGCTGGGCCCTCCCAGCGGCCACACGCCCGCAGCCACGCTCAGGCACAGGCAGGGAAATCAAAATCCTTTTGGCAAAAGTAGTCCCTGTTCTCAGCGCGTTATTTTTCAGCTCAAAGGACACAAAGGAATTTAAACACAGGGCATAAAGCAACATCGAGAAGGCAATTAACAGGGATTAATTGCGTGACTCACTGAAATGCAACACGAACGAGGCAGAAAAAGAATAAGTGATGTGGGGCAATGGGGCATGCAGGGTTTGCAGGGGGAGCTTGGCCGGGGGTCCCAGAGCTGGAGTGAGAGCACTTTCCTTGGGGCACGGAGCAGGCAGAGCCCCCCGGCACGGTGGGGATGGAGCCAGACCATGTCAGAGCCATCCATCACCGTCCTCCCGCACAAAGATGGAACGGGAGCAAGCAGGACCCCCCCGCACCGAGATCCGGAACACAACTGCGCCCCCAAAACCGCACCCCGGGAGGGGGTGAGCACCCGCGGGCATCACCGCTCTGATCCCGCTAAACGCCTTCTCGAACCTTCCCTCCGCCGCCACGCCTGGGGACACGAACACGCGGGGATGGGGACGGCGGCGCGGAGCCCGCGGGGCCGCGCCAGGAGCGCACCCGGGGCTCCTCCGGTGCCGCCGCTGCCGCGGGGCTCCTCCGGTACCGCCGCCGCCGCCGCTAGATGGTGCTGGGACCCCGCCGGACCCCCGGGCAGGGACGAGACGAGACCAGAGCGTGGGTTACAACCAAGAGCCGTTTATTAACAAAATCAGACTTACCGGGGCTCGTCCGCCCGCCCGGGGCCGCCGGTCCTGCCGCTGCGCCCGCCGCTCCTCCGGTCCCCCCACCGACATAAGGGGGGGACACGCGGGGTCCTGCAGCCCCCGGCGGGGCACGGCCTGGGGTGAGCATCACCCAACCGGTGTAGCCCCCCCCCGGCCCCGGACACAGGGCAAAAAGAAAAAAAAAATACCAAAAAAAAGGAGGAAAATTAAAAAAAAAAAAATAAACCACAAAAATTTTTAAAAGGAAAAAAAATATTTGTAAACCCCAAAGATTAAAAATAAGAAAAAAATTACAAAAAAAAAAATTACATCTGCAAGTTACAAATGCAGAGAACAGAATCCCAGAGCGATAAACGCAGAAGGGAAGGAGGAAAATGCCTTTTTTTTTTTTTTTTTTGCTTTTCCATGTGTGGCAGGAGTCATGCAAGAATTTCTCGGGGGAAATTAAGAAGGGGAAGGAAAAAAAAAAAAATTCAAAAGAAACAGAAGGGGAAAATCAAAGCCCCACACCTGCAAAGTAAAGAGGGGATTTTTTTTTTTTTCTTTTTTTCGGGTTATTATTTTTTTTTTTTTTTGGGACACAGACTTTTTTTGCATACCATTGATTCATTGGTGTATAATGCACTTATATTCTCAGCTTTAAGCTAACATACAGTAATAAATACAGAGTCCAAGGAGGGCGCGGGGGGCTGGGGCTGAGCCGGTTACTGATATCCCAAAGCCGAGGCTGACGTGAGTCTTTGGCCGTAGAGAGCGTACGGGGAGTAGTAAGGTCCGGCAGCCGGCAAGGAGGGCACGGGCAGGGCGCCGGCCGTGGGCAAGTGGCTCTTGCCGTAGGGGTGGTACCTGTTTAGTCCCAAAGTGTGTGGGCTCCTCAAGGAGAGCGAGGCCGGTAAGGTGTTGGGGCTCCCGGGGGCGGCGGGCGGGAGGTGCAGGTGGCAGGAGGCCGCGGAGCCCAGCCCGGAGGTAGGGTAACCCGCCAAGAGTTTCTCGGCCCCCGGCAGGGCCGTGTGGGTCCGTAGGTGGGTGAGCAGCTCCTCCGAGGTGGCAAACCTCTTGTCGCAGGGTCCGCTGGCAGACACCCAGTTGCATATGTGGGGCAGGGGGTCGTTCTGCAGCATGAAGCCGTAGGTGTAGAGGGGGTGGCCGGGCAGGCTGGGGGTGCCGCTGGAGGAGAGCGTGGTGTGCACCGAGTGCAGGGGGTGCGTGGGGTACACCAAGGGGTATCCGCTCTTGAGGCTGCCGGGGTCGTGCACGCAGCTGGAGCAGTTGCTGGAGCCCAGGTGCGAGGCGCTGTGGTAGCTCAGGCAGTACGGGTCCCGGCATAATCCCTGCATGAAGGAGGGCGGCGAGGCCCCGGTGAGCGGGCTGGAGCTGGGCGGTTTGCCCGGCAGCCCCAGCGCCCCCGGCAGCTGGCTGCCCACCAGCCCCGGCTTGGTGGGGTCCAGCCCGGGCACGAACTGGGACGGGTAGCCGGCGTAGGCGCCGACGATGGAGCCGTGGTAGCCGATGCTGGAGGGCGGCAGGGGGAACACGGAGTGGCCCGGCTTGTAGGGCGACACGGGGGCCACATGGCCGGCGGGCGGCAGCGCGGGGGGCTCCGACTTGCGGCCCGAGGGGGGCTCGCCGTGCGCCCCGGCCTCCACCACCCCGCGCCCCAGCGCCCCGCCCGTCCCCTCGGGGCTGGGCTTGCCGCCTTCGGGCTCCTTCTTCTCCTCGGCGCCCTTGGGCTCGGGGTGCTGCGGCGAAGCCCCGCGGGAGCCGCCGGGCGAGGAGGCGGCGGCGTGCGGGGGGAACGGCGGGCACGCTGCGCTGGGCACCCGAAAGCCGGCCTTGTCCGCGCCGCCCTCCTTGCGGGGCTCCCCGCCGCCCTTCGAGTAGGGCTTGAAGCTCGACTTGTCCTCGGCGGGCGCGTCCCCGCTGCCCGGCGGCTTCAGCGCGGCGGGCCGGGCCGAGGGCTCCTTGTCGGCGGCGGGCGCGGCGGCCGCCACGGCGTTCAGCTTGGAGGAGGGCGGCGGGTCGGGCTTCCCGATCTGCGAGCAGGTCTGGGCCAGCAGCGCCAGCGGGCTCTTCTTGGCGTCCAGCTGCGGGCGGAGCGGAGCCGGTCAGGGGGGACCCCGACGGCGCCCCCGCACCGGCCTCCCCCCACCGCCGAGAGCCCGGGGCCGGGCCCGGCACCGAGCCAGGGCGCGGGGATGGGGGGGACGGGGCGGGGGGACGCGCCCGGCCGGGGGGAAGAGGGACCGGGTGGGGTGTGGGGGGGGAGCGGGGCTGCGGCGGCGGCGGGGGAGGGAAAGAACGGGGTGGGGGGAGCGGGGACGCCGGGCAGGGCAGAGCTCGGCCGGGAGAACCGGGAGCGGCGGCCGGGAAAAGCTGGGAGCACCGGGAAGAGCCCGGCTGGGAGAACCGGGAGCGGCGGCCGGGAAAAGCTGGGAGCACCGGGAAGAGCCCGGCTGGGAGAACCGGGAGCGCCGGGCTGGGAAGAGCCCGGCCAGGGGGACCGGGAGCGGCGGCCGGGAATGCCGGGAGCACCGGGAAGAGCCCGGCTGGGAGAGAACCGGGAGTGCCGGGCTGGGAAGCAGCCGGCCGGGGGAACCGGGAGCGCGGCTCCGGGGGTGCGAGGCGCGGTCGGGGGCGGCGGGCACTGACCTCGATGGGGCTGACGGGCGTGGAGGAGAGCGGCTGGAGGTACTCGGGGTGCAGGAGGTGGCCGCCGTGGGCGCTGAGCATCTTCAGGACGCGGATGGGCAGCCGGCTGGCCTGGCGCAGCGGGTCGGCGGGGGGCGGCCGGGGCGACGGGGCGGCCGCGGCTCCGCGGCTCGGCGGGGTCCTCGGCCGGGGCCCGCCGGGAGCGCCGCTCATTTGGGGCGGGGGAAAGGGGGGGGGTGCCCGGGCTCCGCGGGGCCGGGCCGGGCCGGGCCGGGCGGGCGGCGGAGCGGCGGCGGCGGCGGCCCCGGCGAGACGAAGCCCTTCCCCGGCCCCACCGACACGTCAAATAGCCCCGATGGCGGCCGCGCTCCGAGGGGGCCGGCGCCGCGCACCAATCCGCGCCCGGCCGGGCCCCCGGGGCGGGGAGAGCCGCCGGTGGGGGGGGCGAGCCGCCGCCGCTCCGCCGCCACCGCCCCGCGCCGCCGCGCGGGGGAGAACCGCGGCACCGGCCCGAGAGCGGCAGAGGCAGCGGCTGGCGCGGCTCGCCCGGCACGGCGTGGCTGGCACGGCTCGGCATGGCACGGCGCTGCTGGCACGGCCTGGCACAGCTCGGCATGGCATGGCACTGCTGGCACAGCTCGGCATGGCGCGGCATGGCACGGCACTGCTGGCATGGCATGGCATGGCACAGCTCGGCGTGGCACGGCGCTGCTAGCACTGCATGGCACTGCTGGCACGGCTCGGCATGGCACGGCGCTGCTGGCACGGCATGGCACTGCTGGCACAGCTCGCATGGCACGGCATGGCAAGGCATGGCATGGCTCAGCGTTGCTAGCAAAGCTCGGCCTGGCATGGCGTGGCACGGCACGGCATGGCACTGCTGGCACATCTCAGCGTGGCATGGCATGGCATGGCACTGCTGGCACAGGTCAACATGTCACAGCGTTGCTGGCACGGCATGGCATGGTGTGGCACAGCATGGCACTGCTGGCACAGTTTACCATGGCATGGCTTGGATGACATACATGATATGGCATGGGATGACTCTGCTGGCACAGTTTACCATGGCATGGGATGACTCTGGTGGCACAGCTCGTCACAGCATGGCATGGCACTGCTGGCACAGTTTACCATGCCATGGGATGGCACTGCTGGCACACCTGGGCATAGCTTGGCTGGGACACCTTAGCAGGGCATAGCATGGCACTGCTAGCACACCTTGGCATGGCTGACACGCCATGGCACAGCTTGGAATGGCACGGCTCGGCTTGGCTGGCATGGCTGATCATGCTCAGCTGGCACATCATGGCATGGCACTGCTGCCGTGGCATGGCTTAGATAAGCTCAGCCTGGCACAGCTGAGCACCCCTGTGCCAGGGGGTCCTGCACCCAAAGCTGCACCCAGGGCCTGTGTCCTGCCACCAGCCAACACCTGTGCCCCCTCCTGGTGCCACCCAAGGTGAGGGGCTGACCTTAACTCAGGGCTCTCACAAAGTGAAATTCCCTTATGAACCCACAACTCCTTTTTTTCCAGGCATTTTCTCCTTTCTTTAGTTTGCTGAGTCCTAAAAATCTTCAGGTGCCAGCGCAGGCTGTTGTATAACTAATTAACTTCCAACAATTAACTTCCTATTTCTAGTTACCTTTTCCAGACATCCTTGAATTAATTCCACAAACCCCTGGGGCTTCAGTTTTGCAGGGGGGTGAAAAACAGCCGAGCTCAGCCAGGCTTTGTCCAGAGGAGCCAAGGCACACAAATAAACCCTGGAGCTCTGTCCGAGTGATGTCCTGCATGTGAGGTCCTGGTGGGCTGAGAGCTCCTTTCCTGGCCTTCAGGTGGGAGAATGGGGGCTGGAGGGGAGATGTGCAATGGGATGGGGATGTGGAGAGACAGGATAAAATCCTGGGGGCCAGGATGGGATGAGAATTGAGGAACTGAGGACCTTTGGCCTGAAGAAAGGCGATGTGGGGCCAGGTGCCCACTCCAGCCCCACCTCTGCCCTCCGGGGGTTTGTGTTTCAGGTCCCTCCTGCCTACGCAGAAAGGGAGAGGGGGAAAGGGGGAGAGACAGACACCTCTAATTAATCATATTAACTCCTGACAGATGCTTTATGTTCCAACAATGTTGCTATTATTAAGTTCATGTGCCCACCCCTCTCCAAGCCCGCTGCTCCGGGTTCTGGGAAAAAAGGCTTTGCTGGATTTCCCCAGTGAGTGCTGGCATCGCCCAGCTCAGTCCCGCTCGTCCAACCCCTATCAATCACACCCAGGGTCAGACCTGTCAATTCCCCCTCTTTGTGAGGCTTTTTTCTTCTCTTTTTTTCCCTCCCTCCCGAAGCTGACCGCAAGATTGATTCAATCCGGACAGCGGGATGTGAGCGGAGAGGCGCTGCCGCTCAAAGGAGCCATTCAAGGAAGGAGGAAACTGAAAAAAAGGCTTTCCTCAAAGTCACTCGAGTTGTTCGCCAACAACAACAGCAGCACGGCCCTCACCGAGTAATCCAAGATCAGGTGGGATGAGTGAGTAAGAGCAGCGTGGCTGGGGTGAGCGAGGGCAGGAGCAGCGACGCCCCCGGGGCTGTTTGTCCTTCCCTGCAATGCCCCCGGGGCTGTTTGTCCGTCCCCCGATCCTGGGGCCTGATCCTGCCCCGGTGCTGGCACACAGAGACCATTCTGGATCAGCTTGTGTTTGCTGGAGCAAAGCAAACAGCCCTTCCTTCATCAAAGGGGTGTCGTGGGTAGTGATGGATCCACACTGGTGCCAGTCCTGGTGCAGGTTGGATCCTTTGCTCCAAAACCCACGAGGGTCCTGCTTTTATCAAGAACAGTAACCAGAGGGGAGAAAGTTAAATTTCCCTGTTCCTGCGATGCCCCAGGGCTGTTTGTCCTTCCCCAAATCTCAGGGCATGCCCAAGGCCTGATCCTGGCACACAGAGACCGTTCTGGATCAGCTTGTGTTTGCTGGAGTAAAGCAAACAGCCCTTCCTTCATCAAAGGGGTGTCGTGGGTAGTGATGGATCCACGTCCTGGTGCAGCTTGGATCCTTTGCTCTAAAACCCTCAAGGGTCCTGTTTTTATTAAGGAGAACAGTAACCAGAGGGGAGAAAGTTAAGTTTCCCTGTTCCATGTCCAGTTCTGCTCCATGACAAGCCCCTCTCTGCTCGGAGCTTGCACGAGTTCAAATAAAAGCAGCGAGACCCCTGCCCAACAAAAATAACACCAGCACCAAAGGAAAAGCAAAATATTTGGAATAGAAGCAAAGCCAAAGGAGACCAGAAGCCTCGGGGAGTACTTTCACCAATGACTGATGATGTTTCCATCCCCAAGCAGGACTTGCCCTGGTTTGATTTTGCCAAGGACGAGTTCCCATGCAGAGCCCTAATGAAGCCCATGGACTCTGATGTCTTTGTGACCTGTGAAGCGAGGCTGGGGAAGAGGGAATTGGGTTTTTGTTTAACTTCAGGATCTTCCAGTAACTTGGGATGAGTCTGAGCAGAGAGTTTTGTGTCCCATCCTGAGTGCCAGGGGGTGCAGAGCAGGCAGGATGGAGGAGCTGCAGCCTGCACGGACAATTTGGTGGGATGAGATAAGATATGAATTTAAATCGCTGGACCTCTCCTCTGCTGGGCTTTGGCTCTGGAATAAACCTCTCCTGCCTCATTGCTGCTGGACACAGGTTAAGGGCAGACAGGATAAAGGGAGCTGGGGGGTGTGAGGGGTGTGGGGGCCAGGCTGGGATGGGTCCTACTGAGGTTCCAGTCACCCTGAGGGGGCTGGGGGTGGCTCCAGCCGCTGATGCAGGATGAGGATGTGAGCATGTCCTAAATCCGAGCCTCTCTCTGCCCCTCAGTGCCTTTGTACTCGTGATGTTCCCAGGTAAATCCTCCCTTGCTCCCCCTAAATCCGAGCCTCTCTCTGCCCCTCAGTGCCTTTGTACTCCTGATGTTCCCAGGTAAAACCTCCCTTGCTCCCCCTAAATCTGAGCCTCTCTCTGCCCCTCAGTGCCTGTTTCACTCCTGTGTTCCCCAGGAAAATCCTCCCTCACCCCCCCTAAATCTGCCCCTCAGTGCCTGTTGTACTCCTGCTATTCCCCAGGTAAATCCTCCCTCATCCCCCCTAAATCTGCCCCTCAGTGCCTGTTGTACTCCTGTGTTCCCCAGGTAAATTCTTCCTCATCCCCCCTAAATTCGAGCCTCTATCTGCCCCTCAGTGCCTTTGTACTCCTGCTGATCTCAGTGCCTGTTTTACTCCTGTGTTCCCAGGTAAATCCTCCCTTGCTCCCCCCCTAAATCTGAGCCTGTATCTGCCCCTTTGTACTTCTGTGTTCCCCAGGTAAATCCTCCCTCACCCCCCCTAAATCTGAGCCTCCCTCTGCCCCTCAGTGCCTGTTTTACACCTGTGTTTGCCAGGTAAATCCTCCCAAAATCTGAGCCTCCCTCTGCCCCTCAGTGCCTTTGTACTCCTTCTGTTCCCAGGTAAATCCTCCCTAAATCTGATCCTCTATCTGCCCCTCAGTGCCTGTTTTACTCCTGTGTTCCCCAGGTAAATCCTCTCTTGCTCCCCCCCTAAATCTGCCCCTCAGTGCCTGTTGTACTCCTGCTTTTCCCAGGTAAATCCCCCCTAAATCTGAGCCTCTCTCTGCCCCTCAGTGCCTGTTTTACTCCTGCTTTTCCCAGGTAAATCCCCCCTAAATCTGAGCCTCTCTCTGCCCCTCAGTGCCTGTTTTACTCCTGCTTTTCCCAGGTAAATCCTCCCTAAATCTGAGCCTCTCTCTGCCCCTCAGTGCCTGTTTTACTCCTGCTTTTCCCAGGTAAATCCCCCCAAAATCTGAGCCTCTCTCTGCCCCTCAGTGCCTGTTTTACTCCTGCTTTTCCCAGGTAAATCCCCCCTAAATCTGAGCCTCTCTCTGCCCCTCAGTGCCTGTTTTACTCCTGCTTTTCCCAGGTAAATCCCCCCTAAATGTGAGCCTCCCTCTGCCCCTCAGTGCCTGTTTTACTCCTGCTTTTCCCAGGTAAACCCTTCCTCACCCCCCTGCAGCCCCTCCTGCTGCTCCATGGCACCAAATCCTCCCGAGTCAGCGTTTTCCCTGCCCTGCTCCATCCCAGCCCCTCCACTCCCCACGCAGCACCAGCCCAGGCCTTGCTTTTAGCTGCAGAACAAGTGCATAAAAATGATCTTATTTATTACAGGAGACATGTTTTAAAACAACTGAC